TTTACGTTTGGAGAAGAAAATTCTTTAAATAAAAGTTACTTCTAATATTATTATCTATAATTTTTGTTCTATACAAAATTTTCCTAAAATGGTCCGTATTCGAGAAATTTGACAAAATGTAAAAAAAATATTTTTTTATAAAAATTGTTCAAATAAAAGTTGTTTGTAATATAATTCTCTATAATTTTTATTCCCTACATAATTTCTCTAAAATGGACCGTATTCGAGATATTTGAGAAAATGTGTAAATTTCGAATTTTGAAAAAAACTCAAAAACAGATAAAGAAAAAAACATTAAATTTTAAACTTAAGGTTTATTTCGGCCTGACGTGAAACGATTAGATTTTGGACAAAGTCGGAACATCTGGGGGGGTACTTTATGGGAGGCCGTTTTTATATTTTATGGAATATATCTGTTATTTATGTTTGGAGAGGAAAATTGTTCAAATAAAAGTTACTTCTAATATTATTATCTGTAATTTTTGTTTTATGTAAAAATTTCCTGAAATGGTCCGTATTCGAGAAATTTGACAAAATGTGCAAAATTCTGATTTTTATTATGAAAGTTTTTGAAATAAAAGTTGTTTGCGATATCGATCTCTATAATTTTTGTTTATACATGATTTTTCTAAAATGGACCGTAATGAAAAAATTGTAGGAAATTAAAATTTTTCAGTATTTTCGTTTTCCATGAATATCTATAGAAAAATGTTTCGAGGTAGATGTATGTGGACAATGTATATATTTAGTTTATCCTCTAAACATTTATATAACTAGATAGGAAAGTCATGTGTTGGACACATCAGATTTTTGTACTAGTATAAAAAAGCACAAACCTACAGTTAAATGGCTTATGAACGTTGCAATCAAGTAGGCTGAAACTGTCATTTGAATACTTATTTAATTTGACGTTTGTCAGTATATGATTTAGAATATAAAAAAAATAGTGTTAACCCGTTCGTAATACCTGTGTTTTTCAAGTAAAAAGAAAATGTCAGAAGAAATGCAATCAACACCTCCCGAATTGCTAGAAATAGCGAAATCTTCGATAGAAACCTTAATATCTACGAAATCGAAGAAAGTTTACGATTATGCTTACACAAAATTTGTGAAATGGAGTGAAGAAAATCACGTACATTTTTATTCAGAAAATGTTCTGATCGCATATTTTACTAATTTGTCTGAAAAATTCAAAAGTTCAACAGTGTAGTCGCAGTATTCAATGCTGAAATCAGAACTAAATATTAAACATAATGTAAAAATTGAAAACTATTCAAAATTAATTGCCTTCTTAAAACGAAAAGGTGATAATTACAAACCGAAGAAGTCGAAAAGTTTTTTCTAAACAGGAGTTTGATAACTTTCTTAAGAATGCACCAAACAAGAGATATTTAGCAACTAAGGTAGGTACATAATTTTTTTAAACTGTTATTTAGTTTTACAGATATTCTATTAATTTCAGCTTTTTTATTTAAATTTTTTTTTATCCATACTTTTATTTAAATGCTTGAAGAAAAAATAGTATATGTCACTCGGATTAGAAGGCCCATTATATGTTTCGCCCAGTTTGCACAGCTTCGGCTAACGCTTCAGCTGTGCAAAATTCTGGGCTCAACATATAATGTTGGCCTTCTACTCCTAGTAACATAATATACTATTTTAAAAGCTTCTATGTTAATGCCTTCAATTATTATTTGGTCAAATATATTTAAAAGTAGGTTTTTAGCAGTGTCTGGTAAATTGCAGAGATAGGGTATTTAATATGGTCATAACTAGGAGAAGTATTGTTGCGGTTGTTAAAAGCAAAATCTATTTATGTTCGAAAGAAAGGGACTAATAGGAAATGATTAGAATCATTGACTTTAGTAACCTTAGATATTGGGGTTCTTACAAACTCTAGAGAGGATGATTAAGTTTAGGTTTGAATGGTGGTTAATGCAACAAAAGCTTCTTCCAGAAAATCAGTATGGTTTCAAAGGGGGTTTTGGTACAATGGATGCCTTAAGTACTTTGGTGGTAGACATTCAAAACAATTTGTCAAGAAACAATTATTTACCTGTCCTTTTCCTTGACATCGAAGGTGCATATTATGCTGTGTCTTTACCACTCCTGCTGGATAAAATGAATAAAATATTTCATATTCCAAAATAATTTGCAATCAGTATTACAAATTTTTACACCAACAGATCAATTTACTTGCTAGCAAATCAATCTGTCCTAGTCCCTAAACTTAATAATAAAGGGTTACCTCAGGGATCTGTTTTGAGCCCTCTTTTATTTAATATGTACACAACTGATTTACATAATATTTAAATAAATAATACATTATCATTTAATATTGTACAATATGCCGACAAATTCTGTATTTATACTAAGAAAACTTAAAAAATATTTATTCAGTTTTACAAAGATGGTTGACCACAAATGGCTTTCAATTATCAGTTAACAAATCTATGATATGTATTTTTACAAGACACAATTCACTTAATAACATCATGTTTGGACCCGACGATTTCATGATTCAAAATTATGCGAGGAATTTGGGTATGATTCTGGACAGGAAGCTGGCGTGAAAATTCCATATTGATAGTACGCTGAATAAGTGCAATAAAGGAGTAAATTTTTTAAAATCGATTAGTTTAGTAAGACTTGGTGGGGTGTTGATATTGAAATTGCTCAATTATTTAATAGAGCTTATATTCGCTCTATCCGGACGCGTCCAAATCAGCTAATGGCGTAGGCTCTGCTTTCTTTGAACCTAAAGAGCACATAGAAAAATCTTTTAAAATTAAGCAAGAACGTTCCATCTATACTGTGGAAGCTGCAGCTATCTATGAAGCACTTATTTACGCCTCTTCCTGCAACAGAGAAACGATAGTTATTATATCACATTCCCTCTCTGTTTTAACATCTATTAAAAAAAATGGACTTCCTAATACATCGACTTGTCCTTTTGTAATAAAAATTGAGAAACTTATCTAAACATTTCCAGAAAGAGGCCAGAACGTGCATTTTTATTTGGATTAAGGCTCACATTGGGCTAAAGCAGAACGAACATGTAGATTTGTTGGCCAAAAAAGACTCTGTAACAGGTTCTAATACGTCATACAATTTATCTGTTTCTGATGTTACTGCAATATTAAAAAGAAATCAGTTCAATAAATGGCAACACTTGTGGCAGGAATATTGTTTTACAAATCCAACGAGGTATACGACTCTTCAGTTAAACATTCCTAAGATCCCTTGGTACAAGCATTATAAAATATCGCGAAAGTACATATCGACAATCATTAGGATGAAATTTGGTTATCCCTGTTATCCTAGCCATTTATACAAAATTAAAGTCTCTGAAAGTGACCAATACGAGACGTGTAATAAAAAAGGAGACAGACCATATCTTTTTTAATTGTACTAAAAACAAAAAATTCTCTGACAAGCTATATAACGACCTGCTTAAATGCAAAATATGCTCTCCTTGGAATACCAAAGTTTATTGTCCACAAATTCCACAAACATTTATGACTAATTCATTAAATTTTGGAATCAGGTATACGCTTGTGATTAGTACTTCTCTTAGACTCGTTACCTTTGTTTTCTTTCATATTGTTTTATTTTACCCCCTTACCGTAACCTAGTGCATGTCTATTATTTAAAGCCTTGATGGGTCCCTAGGCGAGAAGTGAGTGTCCCCGTTTAAACCTCTTGTTGTTATTTGAAATTAAATATTTAATGTTTTCTCTTTTTTATTCATTATTTGTTTGTTAATTTATCTCCTCCATTTTGTGACTGGCTGTATGACTAAGAGTCTATGCCAATAAAAAAAATATATCCATTCTAAGTAGTGAGAACACTGCAAAAAATGAAATCCACTAATCACAGTTCATATTTTGTACACCCAACTACTATTATTTTTAAAATTTTAAATAAGTGATAATTCTGTCAAAGTAATTGTCAGTATATTTTTTAGTTATTTAGATTAAATATACTAAAAAGAGTTATTTTTGTTTAGAATCGATAAATAATAGCATTTTTATTATTTTTATTTGGGCCACATTTTAAAAAATTAATAAATTTTAACCAAACTATATGAAACTAGTTTAATTACGAGTATTAAAACAAAAATCTTAAAAGTTTCGGTAGAGCTGTGGACAGTGCATTTATTTTATTTTATAAATTAGTAAAATTCATAAATTATTTTAAAATTAGTTATTTTATCTTAATAACCTAAAATATTCTTTTTAATTTGTAGATTTGCGTTAGTGGGTCGTAGAAAAAATATACTATACTGTCCATATCCACTCTTGTTGCACAAATTACTATTACGAATTGCAGTTTACCTATAATAACTTATAACTTCATAGCACTTTCCATAAATACAGGATACTAACATGACTTTACAGAGAAAAACGAAGAATGTTCTTATCCTTGATGTGCATTTTAACTTCAAGCCATCCCGGTAACAAGTGGTTGAGAATAATTATTTTGCTTATGCTTAGGCTTTTGAAAATTTTGCAACTTACAATTTAATTTAAATTCTTCAAGTGACTGAAAGCATACATTAATTAATATTTTCTTTTAAATATTTTTGAAATAACCATTTGAGTTAATTCAAATAATTTTCATTATTCAAATAACGCAAATTATAAAAATATGACAATTCTATTTAATAATTTTCCAAATTTTTATTTTTTTAAATATTTGATTGGCAGTATAACATTTTTTTTACTAATTTTTTTTTATAAATAATTAGTCAAAACTAGAAAATTCATTACTAGTTATTATTCCATGAGTGGCAACCCCGCTTTGGATTACTCTTTTGTGTAAACTGATTAAGGATTATTTTCGTATTCCTCTTGTCACTCATTTAATGTAAAAGGATATCGTAAACGGATGCTAGCAATTGAAATACGTTAGCCTAACCTTTTACGGAATCATTTTTTCCCGTGAAAAAAACGACGTCAATAGAAAAAGGTTATTTCCAACCCGTCTTTTTTTTTTAGGTCAATTTCAATTACGGAAACGATGGGCATGCATCAGATACGGCCAGAACTCTTTCAGGATTGGACAGGGACTGTTTCATCATTCCTGTGCACAGTCTCGACAGGTTTCTTCCTGCGGGCGTCCCTCTGCCAGTAGGTACAAATAACAGTTTATATGTATGTTTATTAGGATGTGCATTAATCGAAATATTTAAATAAAAGTAGTTTTAAAAAATCGATTCAAAAAATGAAGAAATTGATGATTTTCTCATTTATTTTTTATGTCAAGTATGTCAATTACGTTTGAGGATTAAATCGATAATCGATTAAAGGATTATTTTCGATTAATAGATTGTTTTCGAATAATCGATTATTTCCGATTAATTGATTATTTTAGAATAATCGATTATTTTAGAATAACCGATTATTTTAGAATAATCGATTATTTTGGAATAATAAATGACTATTCTATTCGAATCTGTAAAAATTTAATTGCGGCTTGACAGATGACAGGTTAATATATTTAAAAAAAGTGAATTGGGCTAATAATAATAATATGGCTCGGGCATTGATTTAAAATAAAGAAACACAGGAAAATGTATCACAAAATATTACGAGCGACGGTTTTCCTCCTGAAAACAAGTACTTATTTGACCAATACCACAACAGGCATTGAATTATATTTTAAAAAACCGTAGAGACTGAATAGTATAGTATGTAACAAGGTTAGAATAGAGTAACTTTCTCCACGGCCACGGATATAATAAGAGTTGAATATAGTAAAATGAAATTTTGAACAAAATGAAATATTTAATCTAACTTACGTTAGGCAAGTTTCTATTTAATGTATTTGCATAATTTGTCAGTTTAGGAGGAATATAATCAAATTCCATGATATAAGAATCATTATATTCACCAATTTTTGAATTTAAGTTCGATTTAACAAACTCTGCTTATCTTTATTAAGGCAAATTCAAACTAAATACTAATGCGTCACGTAGAACTGTCAGTCATGAAATTCATGACTATCTACGATGCGGGCGTGGTATTCACAGCCATTGGCTAGTAGCTATTACATAATGAACATTATGTATCTAGAGTTAGAAAGGAATACGTGTAAAATACGTAAGAGGCAAGAGTTTCAGAATTTTCTTTCAAACTCAAGACCGAGAATGATTTCTTTCTGTTATTATAAAGGTACCATTTCGGAACGCGCGACAGATAACAACAGAAGCGACGGCAAAGGAGACCGATGCATTTACGTTACGCTTCACCCATTTGGGAAGCAAGGAGACGGGCGACACGACAACCGCAGACGACAATTCGAGGGAACGATTAGTGTTGCCAGACCTACTGTTTTAAAGTAGATCCACTGTTTCTGTTCTCCTGTTTTAGGCATGAAATCTACTGTTTTCGCCAACTTAATAAATGAGGGTTCTTAATTTATTAAGTTTCGCAAATGATCAAAGAATATTTTCTCTAGTAAATTAATTACTGTAAGTTTGCTCCATAAAAAAACCTTAATATAATCACTATGTTTCTATTTAAAATGCAACAAAGAATTAATACGACATCATAAAAAGAATATGCATGCCAAACATAACGTATTTGAATTATCTGATTCAGACTAATCTAAAAGAAATACCTATTATTTTTCATTGGTTTTTTTTTGTTTCCGGACGTTAAGTATATATTAAAAATTTTATTATTTGTTTTTATTCTTTGTTTACTTTCTAATTTGTGTAGAAAAATGTTTATTTTTCGTTTCTTATATACTTGTTTTTTTTTTAGTTACTACACTGCAAATTATAATTATTTCCCCTGTATTAAAATCTACTGTTCAGATCTACAGTTTTGAAAGAACTTTGCAACTACCATTTCTATAAAATATCGACTCATCACCTCGAAATACGAGCGATGACTGAGGAGTGTGGACCAAGCGCGATAGGCAGCAAACACTACCCCGATCTTCCTGTCGTCGACTTCTGTCTCTTGCACTGGTCGCGCCTTGCAAAATGTGTTTCATATAATTGCATGAGTTCAGACATAAAGAGACCGTTCTTGGTCTCCTTTGCCGTCGCTTCTGCTGTCGTATGTAGCGCGTTCCGAAATGGTACCTTAAGTGGTTTCGGAAGAACTACATTCAGTACTGGCCTTGGAGAAAATTATTTTCACCACCAACAAATGAGTTTATTTATTTATTTATTTATTTTTTTTTTTTTCAGAAACCTGTAAATAACAATAATAATACATTAGATAAAAAAGGAAACCTACATGTAATGGAGGTAAGCTTTATAAAATAATTTATTCTAAATAAATTGTAAATAAAACGTTCTTTCCATTAAAAAATAAACAATTAAAAATTTATCAAATACCTATAAATCTGTAAATAATTTCGTAGATATATAATTTTTGTCTGATCAAATAATTAAAAACCATAACCGTTTTGGACATAAAAATAACAATAATTGTACTGTTTTTACGGTTTAGGTACTGATAATATAAGGTGGGTCAAATGGTCAGTTAGATGGTGTTCTGTGGTTAGATTGGCATGCACAAAGCCTAATTTTGTTTTTTTATTGTAGAGCTTTTATTGTAAAAAATGGGAAAAGTTTATAACATTTTTTTTTTTTTTTGAACGAGTTGTCCCTTACGTGATATCGTAAGATGTTTCATTAGAATGTTTCGTCTTCGCAGAACCATCTTCAAGTGGTGACTAATCCAATATTTTTTCTTAATATTTCCCTAAACAAATTCTTTTAAATTAACGATTAAGCAAATATCTAATTCATTAAAGGCTTACACGAAGAATTATAGTACAGTTATTTAATTATGGACAAAATTAAGGTTATGTACGATTTTTACATTAACTTTAAGATGATATCACACTTAGTAATTAATCAAGTGCTCTGGCATTGTAATAAATTAACATACACTTATGCAGTTAAATATAAAATAAATCAGAGGAATGTGAATCTACCTAAATGTTTGCCAACCTTTTTATTGTTGCCAGTTGTAACCTTGATATATTGAAAAATACTTTATATTTAATCATTTCGTTTCTACATTAGAGTGAACTTTTTATAATATTTTCGGTTAATAGTTTACTAAAAGTTCTTTTCAGGACTGCACTAGTGGAAAAAATTAGGGGATGAAAAAAAAAATCTTGATTTTTTGCGATTTTTCGAGTGGCTGTATATTTGAAGCTTGAAGTGTCTAGTTCATGGATCTTGCGATAAAAAAATTTTCCAACCAACAATTAGCACAAAATCTTGATGAATATCATGGATAGAAAAACGCGATCCTTCAATTTCTTCATATATTCACTCGCATGAAACAAACGGCTTGATGGATCAGGATGAAATTTTGTAGGGCTTTCGGGGGAACAATGGCCTGTAAGATGCACACTCAACATTATTCATTTACCCAATATTCTTAATGTGGCACGTGATTTTCTAAAAAACGTCAAAAAGACCTGTTTTCCGAAATTCTTGAAAGTCATGCTAGGGATGAAAAAAACAATTTCTCGTGAAATAACATGCCAGAACCTTCTAGAGAATGAATCGAAGTTTCTGAAACCCCCCTCCATTTTCTGAGCGGCCATTGGTTCCGAAGATATTGTTCAGAGAAGAGTAAATGACGCATTTTCGTTCATTTTCTGATAACTCAGCAAGGAAGGGTCATCTCGAAGCCATCGAAAAAAGGAATTGAAGCAAACTGAACCACCTATCCAATGCATATAGTGGTTATGTCAAGTCCGTACACTAAAAAAAAAAAATTTTCAAAAATGTTCTATCCATGATATTCATCAGGATTTGGTGCTAATTGTTGGTTGGAAATTTTTTTTATCGCAAGATCCATAAACTAGACACTTCAAGCTTCAAATTTATTATTTTTTTTTTTTCATTCGCGTACGACTATTTTTACCAAATATACAGCCACTCGAAAAATCGCAAAAAAATCGAGATTTTTTTTTGAACCCTTAATTTTTTCAACTAGTGTACTTAACTCACTAATTAACGATTGCGTCGTGTAATAGGTATATTAAAATGCCCAAACTTTTATTCAGCCGGTATCAAAAAATTTCTAAATTATTTAAATAGATTATTTTGAAGGGGGTCGTGAAAATGGAGGTCCACTTCTTTCATTTATTACTGTAAAAGATGTAAGTAGTTTACACCCAATGATATCTCTAATTAGGTTAGGTTCTTGAACTTGCTAATCTTTGTATTAATTATATTATCAGAATGTTAAATTCTTAATCTTAATTTTGATCGATTTTAGTTGTTTTAGTTAAGAAAAATTATCCCCAATTATTACAAAATATATAAATATAAACTTAAAACTGCAAATTTACAACATGGCAACGATGGTGTCATCTTAAACTTATTGTAAAAATTCTACGAGGGTTTGTTGTTTGCTTTAAGAACACTGCCGTTGGATTGGTGGATCACTACCGTTGCTGTTATTCTACCAACCACAGAAAACATATTCATAAGCGTGTATTTGTTAATTAATTTTATGATTTTTTTTTTATTTTCTACTGTGTATCTTAGTATTATATTTTCTACTCTGTATCTTACTATTATATTTACAAACTTTGCATAGGCCACTGCTTTTTTGTAGCTAGGGGGTCAAGACAAAATGATGATAACATGCTTGGCGTGATCTTAAAGCAAGCAATATAGGTATTTGTTAACAAACAAAAACGACATCCTAAAAGTGATCACTTATTAAAATAAAAGCACCCCGCAGTTTGCTTATGGCAAATGGCTTTGGGTCGAATCTCCTAAATTTTACGTATAATGCTGATTTTGACCTCCTGATTAAAAGTGTCCATGGACCAAAGTTCTCCTATAACTAGTTTTTGCGATACAGGAGGTTGAACTTGTGAATTCTCATAATTTTCAAAAATATTTTATGACTCAAACGTTGTTATTTTGTTTATATTCATAAATATTAAAAGTTACTCTTTGACACACTAAAATATTTGTGACTGACAAAATACAATAGCAACCTTTTTAGAAAACAATTATATAGGGTGAGTAATTTTTTAAATTGAATTTAAAAAATGTATATTTAAAAACCGTTTAATGTCTAAAATAATGATTATAAATGTATTATTTATATATGTGTGTAAATAACACTTTATTATAAAAAATACAAACAAAAAGTTGATTCAACGACGAGTGTCACTATTTTACAATATACCCTGTGCATCGTTATGTGTCCGAAACAAGTACATCACATTAACAACAATATATAATTTATTACATTAAAAAATTATATAGGGTATAATTCAACCTTATATAACTTCTTACTCTTCATGTATATGATGTCAGAAGTAAATATTTTTGTTAATTTGATGAGGTACTTGTTTGGAAGACATTACGAGGGTATACTGTAAGATAGCGACACTCATTGAACCAACTTTTTTCTCACGTATACGTGTATTTTTTAAAATAATAAAGTGTAATTTACGTACACGTGTATAACCATGTATAAATAATCCATTTATAATCATTATTTTAGGCGTTAAACGATTTTTTACTTTAATTTAAAAAAATTACTTACCCCATATAGTTTTCCAAAAAGGTTGGTATTGTATTTTAACAGTCACAAATATCTTAGAGTCAAACCGTAACTTTTAATAGTTATGAATATAAGCAAAATAACAATGTCTGAGTCTTAAAATATTTTTGAGAATTTACAAGTTTAACATCCTTTATCTCAAAAACTAGTGATAGGCGAACTTTGGGTCCATGGACTCTTTTAATCAGGAGGTCGAAAACATATATAAAATTTATCAGATTCGACCGAAAGCCATTTGCCATAAGGAAACTGCTGGGTCCTTTCATCAACGACGGAAAAACCCGTTAACTGAAGATACTACGGTTCAAATAATAGCCATATTGACCCAAACATTATTCGAATGTGAATGGTTAAGGAAATACAGGGTGTTGAAAGTTACAATTTTATTTTCTTTTTTTCCATTATTATAAAAATTATTAGGTAATCGACAACGATGCTGCTACTTATAACCTATTTTCATAAATATAAGGTCACAACTTTTTACCCTATATAAATTAATACACCCAACCCTTACCTCAAATCGGTTCCAAAATCGAAAAGAGCAAGCTTTTTCACTTAAAAAAAAAACGTATTTTAGAGTTTCGATGGTTGTATTCACACTATGTATGAACCCTACATTTGAACAAAACCAAAACTGTACTAGTGGACTGTAATTTTCACTTGTTACTTCCCTGCACTGATTAATAAAACTCTGATGGCAATTACAGCCTTTTATTAACTGCTGAAGAAAGTAACACACACTTTGATTAATATTATTTTTTTGTTTAATGGCTTAGGTAGGTATACACCTAATATGCCAGTCTCAGTTTTGTAATTTGATTTGAATTTGTATGTTCTGTGTAGGCTTTGTTACTGTTTTCCAGCGCCACTTCAGGAACAGCACTGTTAATTAGAACCATTAGTGAATAGTCGGAGTGGGGAATTCTATTAACAAAATAAATAGTAATTAGTTAGAACCCTTGCAAAAACAAGCATAAAAAGTTATGATCCTATTTATCAAAGAAATAAGTAAATATTCGTTTTCTATTAGAAAAAAAATAGAATTGCCAATTTTTAAGTCGATACCTAAGACTTTTCGTAATGATAAAAAAGAAAAACTTTTAAAACCCTGTAATTTCTAAACCATCAAAATTCAGGTTAATGGTCATTATTGAACTTGTAGTATCTACACTTAACGGATTTCACTTATTAATGTAACATCCTATGTACTTATTTTTAGGTACCTGATCCAAAACTATGTGTCTTATGCCATCTAATGAGTCCACTGGAACCCGTAGATCCCGTTTTAGAATCTCCATTAGTTCAACCATTATTTAAACAGAGGGCCATTGCGGGAGAGTTAGTAACGGAAATATCTCAAGCAAAAACAGCGATTACTGGAATGCTACTTGCCAATATGGAGAGGAACGGTACGTGAACAATTTATTAAATGGGTTTGTTTATAGATTGATCCTTCCTCTGGCACACACTATATTGGTTCTGTACCTAGTTAATAGATGTTGGCAAACACGAGAACTTATTAATTAAAAGAAAGTTGGTCATTTATTAGAATTTAGACTTTATTTTCATTTAATTTACTTTCTACTTTCATATTAAAAGAATATTTTACCACAGATTAAATAAAATTGATAAAACTAAATTATTATTTTTATAAAGAAATGAGTTCATGTTAATTGAAGATCCGAAAACTAATAAAAATTAAGTAGGAAATTCAGGAAAAAATTTCTAAATAGCTGAAGGTGAAAACAAATCAAAGGAAAATTGAAAAAAAAAACGGGTACCTCGGCAGGAATTAAACCTGCGATCTCCGGCTTGCCGGGCCACTTTCTTAACCACCAGGGCGATTGACGTTCTGCGATCGAATTAGATTTAAATCTTTCGTATCTTTCAATTGATCGAGCCAGATATGTCCTATAGGAATCCTGCCTGGGTGTTCTGATTCTTCCTTGGTTTGTTGTCACCTTCGTTTGTTTAGGAATTTTTTCCTGAATTTTCTATTTTTTTATTATTTTTTTAACTATGTCGGTGTCATTTTTATGTTATTTATTAAACTAATTTTCGTGTTGTTAACAGTCGTTTAACAGCACTCAGTGCGGTAATTATTGAGCGCAAAACTCAACCCATCGCCTCGTTCTGAACTATATCTTCAGTTCTGGTGCTGAAAAAGTAGTGATAAAATGTTTTTTTCTTTTTAGGAGAGTTTCCGTTTATTACATACTACGTATTAAACACGTCACAAACGAATCCTGTGATGTTTTACAATAATTTGCGCACTGCCAGCTTAAGTAAATTCGATCCGAGATCAACCAGGTGAGTTTTTTTTAAATCATAAAAAAATATAATGAAAGAAATATAGCAAAAACATAGTGGTAAACTATCAATTGTTTTGCTAAATTAAAGCCACTCAATGTATTATTTCTATTAATTAATTTATTTGCATTGATTATAATTTAAGTGTAAGTATATATACCCATACAATCCCACAAACCAACAAAACATACTCCATTTTCTATGTGGAAACAAGGCACAGTGCGCTTCTATAGGGACCGTGCGTCATGACTTTAACTCTAACTGGTGACAAAAATGTGAACTTTCTGGGGGGTATTTATTAATGTTTTATACGGCATTTATTGTTTAATAATTATTAATTAAATGAAGTCGAATTATTTTCGTAATATTATTATCGAAAAAACTTGTTGCATCCGTGGATGTACAAACACATCACTTTGGAAACATGGATTTCATTCGATAGTAAAGAAATTTTATAAATTTCCACAGAGCACAACAATTCTTAGAGAGTTATTGCAAGTTCACTTAGAGCCGATTCCACCGTTGTGTTAAACGGAGATTAAAATGACATTGTTAATGTAAAAATGTCATTTTTAACTTGGTTTGACACAACGGTGGAATCGGTCCTTAAGGTCAGTCACTATTAGTCCCGCTCTTATTTTGACATCTGAGCATGCGCAGATCACTAACTTTAATAAAGATTGTGCCTGTCCTTAATAGAGAGATATTGCAAATTTCTATAAAGCCAGCCACTAATAGTGACATCGTAATTAGAGTCAAATAAATTCTATAATAGTACCTAATATTAACGAGGCATTAGAAATTATAATTTTAGAAGGTTTAAATGACGAGCGCATCCGAAAGCTATAAAGTCGCCACTACCTGCTGCCCTTAAACATCCACAATTAAGGACAGGCACAATCCTTAATAAAGTCAGTTTTAGAACATAAACATCTGCGCATGCTTAGATGTCAAAATAAAAGCGGCACTAATAGTGACTAACCCTAAGTGAACTTGCAATAACTCTCTTATTATGGACAGGCCACATACTTTTATTACCATACGAGGCAAGAGAGAGGTCCGACACGCCCAACATAGGGCGCGGCCATTTTGAACCCTGTGACACAGTTTACGGCTAAAGAATCAGATCGCTCACTCTGCGTCGGCACTTTGGATCTCAATGTTTCAGTTTATACACTGTGCAACTCGGATAATACAATATATGACAACCGCCTATAATAAAGCAGCAGTCTTCTGCGTATCCTGAATTTGTATCCCTGGAGTGGATGTTATTTTGGAACTTTCAACTGGTCCGAGTGAGCTAACTGATTCTTTAGCAATAAACTGTGACTTCAAAAATAATATTCACTGACATCAGCAAGCAAAATATCAGGTGCGTTTTAATCATCCGCTTCTGCTTCCGGAATTGTCGGTTTAGTCGTTTTAACCTGTCAAATTAAAACAAGAAAACTGACAATTCCGAAGCAGAAGCGGATGATTAAAACGCACCTATTGAAAATATTGCGCCAAGATGTAGGCAACACGTAATAAGGGTTCAAAATGGCGAAGTTTTCTATCTCCTTTTAAAAGGCACTCAGAAAGCTGCGCAGTGCGACCATTCTCCGTATAGTAAAAGAAAATCAAAGTATGTGGGACAGGCACAATCTTTAATAAAGTTAGTGATCTACGCATGCTCAGATGTCAAAATAAGAGCGGCACTAATAGTGACTGACCTTAAGTGAACTTGCAATAACTCTCTAATGTCTCACACCCAATGATATACATAATTACAAAGATTGCTTATCCATGTAAATCAGACGACGAAAAGCGTATTTCACTGGGCAAAGTCTTCTTTTTATCTAGCTTGTATCAATTTTGAGCACTTAGTTGTAAAGAAATCATTTACAGAACCGGTTTAGAAATTAGAATCTTTAGTGTTTTCTTATCATTAAGATTTTTACATATTTAAATAAACATTTTATATAAATATAATTTTACAGATAATTAATGGTTTATTCTGTTGATTAAAACTAATGTAGAATGTTTATTATGAAATAAGAATGTCCAATTTGACAAAAATATCATGGCCCTCTTTACAATTTATTAACTATTTCTCATTTATTATGAAAATAAACAAATCATAAATAATACATTGTAATTACTGTCAAAAGAGATTGCAACAAACTTTAAAATATTAAAAATCCAGTGATTTTTTGTAAATTTTTTTAGTGACATTACCATTAAACATTATTCAGAATAATAGATAAGTGTCCAATTGCAACTCTTACCAAAGTTGTTTATACCTCATCTCAAAGATGTGTACATTACCTTTTCAAAATTGTATTACATATTGCAATTATGTATTTTATGTAGTATTATTTCTGAAATGAGAGTAGTCTAATAATTATTTATATCCATCTGTTATAAAAATTGTAGATCTCTTAATATTATTTAACTACATGGAAACTCAACTTTCCAAATACATAATAACATGTCTTGAAGTAAAACTTAAATTATTTTCTTTTTCTAAAGATTAAAATGCTGAAATTTTATTTTAAAACACATTTGGGCTAGAACGGCTCTATTTAGTGAGCACTAGGAAAGGCACATTGCAACCCGCTTCTTATAATTGGACATAGTTATGAAGAAATGATCCAATCCACCCAAACCATATTTTGAGAAAAATGATGTTAGAGTTAAATTCTCTACGCGATAACAATAGAATATATAGCGAGTATTTATGATTTTCACTATTAATATCCTAAATTGTTAAATCGTTTCAGAAGAATATAATTTTAGACTGTATCATATCAAAAAGCTACTCAAGTCATTTCTGGTAGATTTGTGGATTGGATCATTTCTGCATAACTACGTCCAATTTTTTTATAGATTGGTGAGCAATCTATAATAGGTATTTTCCTTTGCATCGAAAGTGTAGCACTGAGCTACACCACTTCTGAAAATATCGTTCCATTTATACAAATTGTATGGATGGAACGATATTTTTCGAATTTGGTCATACATACCTAATTTGTATTTTATATAGATAAAATTAAATAATTTATCAATTAAAACATGCAAGACTTATTTAGAAATAAATACAATAGTATGTTCTGTGCTTTATTTAGCTGTAAACAAGTTTATTTTTATTATTTTGACAAAATTATGTATAATTCCCATAAGAAGCTATGTATTTTGAACAACGTATGCAGTACCAGTGCCCATGCGGTTAATTATAGAAGCTCAATTAGCATGCGTTTTTTGGGACCGTATTTTGAGTATGCCGATTCGTCTCCTTATCTCTAGTCTTCATAATTCTACCCTACTCCAGTATTCATTGCCACACGCAGGAAAAAAAAACGATACAGTTGCCATGGGTGGGTTAACGACACTGATACGAGACTGGACTTTTTTCTAGCAACGTTGATACCAGAGATAACAGGAGATGTAACTACAAACAAATATAGTGATGTAGGGACACAGGAGAGTATAATATCCGCTGTTGTAATGTCTATTTCATTATTCTCGTTTTGTTTACAAAATTATTTACATATCATAAAAAAGCTAAAATAGTTCAAGCTATTTTATTGCAACTAACCCCAAAACATTTTGAATCATTAGTTATATCAAATTTAACTAAATTAGATGTAATTTCACTATTTTTAGGTATAATAATTTTCAATAAATTCCAAAACATAGTTAATGTTAATTTGGATGTGGCAACAGGGCTTGCACCGGCTTTCATTTTCTAAGTTGTTTATTATAGGCGCACAAGCGCGCACACATATTCATTGATAGAAAAAATTTGTATCGCCTTAAAATCCTATTTATCCCCTCTTTTACCTCTCACCACACGTCTCTTCACTCCGGACCCATAACTGGAACGGATTGACTGTCGAATTGATGTTGGCATCATGAATATTATATTTTATCAATGAATATCTACATCTCCTGTTATCTCTAGAAGATTTCATCTTGCCAGCATTGTATACGAGGGTCACTCTGTAAATTTTGAGATGCGCCTTTATTAATAAAAACATCACAGAAAGTGTACTAAATACTGACGAGGCTGATTATTAGTAGTTTGTTGAAAAATTGGAAATATTCTGTCACCGAGTTTGGATTCGAAATCTTATTTTCAAATGGACAATTTTGATGTCAGAGATGTAATGTCCCGATGTATGAATGGTCAAGGTAGTGTGCGTAGAACACAAATATGTGGGTTCGAATCCCCGCAGACACAACTTTTTTTAATTTTTTTATTAAATTCGTTTACACTTTGAGGGTTCAAAAATATTTTTCATTATTTCGTAGGGATAATGTTCAAAATAGTCCCCTCCAACGTCATTACAGCCGATATTTTCTATTTTTAAATGCATCCTAAGATACCTTTGAAGACAAAGGCTCTTGTATGATATATAAATTAGCTTTTAAACAATTACTTTTTAAAATTAAATTAAGACAAAAATAAAAAACTAATTAATATAAACAATGTGTAATTACAGCAATACAAATAGAATTACTAAACCATATTGAATAAATTTAACTTGACTTTCAAAAAATAAACTTATAACTAACAAGAAGTAGAAATATAATTTCTACTGAGATATTTTTTTAATTACATTTTTTAACTCGCCGCTGTTTACAGTCACTGCACTGCTAGTTGGTTCAAGATATGATCGTAAAATGAAATTTCAAGACACAATATGGAAATAGACTGCCAACTATACTCCCACTTCACGAAATTTCCCTTTCTTAGAAATATTACGTGCGGCGATAATTAAATTTTAAATTAATAGCATACTATTTTATACAGGATGTCACACATTTAAAATAACATTTTAAAATGGAATTTTAATATGTTACATTTTATAATTAATTCCCTCTTCTGTGGAAAATCTTATTTAGATATACCTGGATATATTTTTAAATAAAAGAAAATCCTAAAGTCACACATGGTCAAATCTGGCGAAAACGGTGGATGTTCCAATACGTTAATGTCTTTGTTTTTTTTTTAGGTATACAGCTGCTCACACTCTGGACCTTTATACAGAGGTAGCTTCAATATGCCGACCGCCCGTACACGAAATTGGTATGTCGCTATCGAAGACGCATACATCATCTACGGGTTATATGGTGTCCGTTTATAAAGTTTTTGAAGGAGACGATAGGGAAAAATTCGAACGCAACTGGCTATATTGGACGGGTAAATATTATATAAAAACATTTATTATTATTTAAATATTAAAACGATTATAACACCATTTTTAAATTAAATTTTTGTTATAATTATATCTGCTTTAGTTTGTTTAAGTATTAAACTATCACCGCCGGATTCCTCTGTACCAATGCGAGAACCGATTTACCTTACTTGGTACGGAATCCTTTTTCTTGTCACTTTTCTGGGGGGTTTAATTTTCAGTTTTTTCAAGGTCAATAACCACAACGTTTTGTCCATTCAGTTTCCTAATATCATCCACTCCTCACATTAATGAACACTTCTGTTGTCCTTGTATATTTATCTGCTTCAGAATTGAGACAAGCATTTTACGTGTTGTCTTTTTTCGAACATTTTACCGTTCTGGATACCTATTACCTATTCACTAAACCTGCTAAACCACTGCTTCAAGTGCTTCATCAGTCTCCTACTCGCTGTGTTGCCATTGCCAAAATTTTGTTTGCGGTACCTAGATAACTTGGTCAAAATTCGGTAGAAATCGGTAGATTTAAAGTTAAATGCATAAGGTTTATTTTTATTTATTGTATATAATTATAACTTTTTTTTCATTCAAAATTTATTCTACGAAGTGCGTATATACCATTTTTTATATGCCGTGACCTTATTTATATTAGAGAAACTTATTTTGCAAAGTACGCCTATGGAATATATAGCATGTGTGCCAGGCCACGAGGGATATCAGGGCAATGAAAAGGCCGACGAACTATCCCGAGAAGACTCAGATAAGGCCATGACAGGCCCCAAACACTTTTGTGGAGTTGCTAAGGCATTGTGCAAGGCACCCATCAAAAAATTTATACAAAAAGAGTCTCAGAAATTGTGGAAAAACAATCCAAGATTAAATCGGGCCAAAAAGTTCATCAAGGAACCATCGGCGAAAATACCTACTGGATCAAAAACGTCAAATCGTTAGGCTTACAGTAGATCTTCTTACAAGAAGGCACATGAGTGTCATGAATCCAGCAGAACAAGCAACATTGTGCAGGTTCTGTATAGAAAAAAAGAAGAGGAAACATCAATCCACTTCCTGTGACAGTGTGTAGACCTGGATACCTATTCTCTAACTCATGGGAGCACTCCCATACTCCCATGCTCCCATACTCCCATGCCAACGTTGCCAAGTCGACAGAATAACTTTGATCTACTATTTAAGAGCCGATTCCACCGTTGTGTTAAACGGAGATTAAAGTGACATTGTTAATGTAAAAATGTCATTTTAAACTTCGTTTAACACAACGGTGGAATCGGTCCTAAATAGTTCAAATTTCCTTTGTGATAAATACGGACCTAAATCTGGCAAGCCCGCAATTCTCCCTCGCATGGTATAAAATCTGACCTTACTACGCATGTACCTGGGCTAAAAGTGAGTAAGCACGATATACCCATCTAAGAGTAAGAGAGCAAAATATATGGGAGCACTCCCGTGGGAGCGCTCCCATGACTTAGTGAATAGCTATCCTGGCTAGATTGAAGTTTCTGACATTAGGCGAAGAAAACCCAGACGCGTGCAACTACATGGGGAAGCCGTCTAATAAAAAAGACCAAGCTAGACGACATACTCTAAATAACGGAATCCCACAATAGATCTGAAAAGGTCGCGGTGGACAAGGGCAAATAATGTTTAGCTCCTTAAATCTAATCTACCTATCGTGAAAACGAATTTTTTAAATTTAGGCGAGTGACATGCGCAGTAAGGCTAAATTGTGAGAGAGTACTCCTGCACGACTACTCCCACAGTTACTGAATAGGGGTCCTGAAGTCAAGTCCATTATCAGGACTTTTAGATCACTACTTTGACAGTTTAGATTTTCGAGAATTTCCCGAGAATTTTTCTTGTAATTTGTTAAATTTCTCCGTTAAACCTTAATTTTTAATATTAATTGCCACATCTAACCTGTACTAATATGATCACTCTTGGATCTGGATTCTAAAATTTACTATATTTAGTTTTTATTTAAGTAACCATTTGTAATGCTTTTTTCACCATCCTATCAATTGTGTTATTTGTATTGTAGGCATGAAGATAGCCATGTAGGCCAAAACTAGTCGACATTTTATAAATAAATTTATACTGTGGTACTCATTGATTTTGTGCTTTATTTCAATTTCACTACTGATTACATTTGAGATAATGGATAATCTTTCATTCATTTATTTTACAATTTAAATGTATCCATTGATTAATAATTCGGTACAATCAAAAGGGAATAAAAGAATAATTTATTAAATAGGTATCTATTGATTTTTCAATCGTTTGTGACATTATAACGCAGTACGTTTTCTGATCAATGAAAATTACTATTATTTAGTAGAAAGGTAAAAAGATGTTCAAATTATACTTAAAAAACGTCAATATTGCTTATATTTTAATAACGAAATCCTCCTACATCTTTTATTCATTTTTCACTTGTTTACATTTTTTTTATGTTGGGGCACTTGTTAAGCTGAATAATCACATAATATATGACACAAACTTTATTGTTGTATAGTTTTCTTCAAAGATATTTTTTCCTTTTTTTACAACTTCGGCTAAACAAAGAATCAAGTGGTACGGCATGTTGCAGGCATGTCGAAGATTGGAGTTTAATTTAATGATACGATTTAGTTTATATTTATATTTGTAAATATTATAAGATGAAGGTTTTAATAAAAAATACACTGAATATTTAAAATAACAGCAGGGTATTACGAAAGTTAATGCTTGAATAGTATTTACTCAAGTTTATTATTTCCTTTTATTGTAAGAAATTAAAAAAAAGGTCAATTAGAATTATAATTTTACTACATACCTTCTGAGACTACATACTCTCCATTACTTTCAAAAGGCCTCCAAAAAGCCATTTTTGTAGATCTAGGTATATGCGGTGTCACTGTTAAAGTCCGCATCATGGGGGTCTGTTTTTATTATTTAGTTTAAGCAAATTTAGAGTTCATGAACAGTTTTTGCTTCGAAAATAATAAAAAATTACGTTGACTATCTCCAAATATCAGCGACTATTTCTCTCTCAGCTGCCGGATTGTTATTTTTTTGTTTGAAAATGTTTCTATTTAGATATTTTTGAAAAATACAAATATTCTGAAAAAAATATGTCATACTTGATGCAAAGTGGGTGCAGTTTCAATATTTTATAGCAAAATTCGCCTTATTTATTTTTAAAAGAGTACAAAATGGCTTTTCCGTTAAAAAGTGTAGTCTGGTGCATTCTCTCTACAACCGTTAAAATTTCTTATCATTTTCTTCGCTTAATAATTCTTGAATCGCCCTCTATATCTTACGAAATGTCGAACAAAACTTATAAGCTTAAATGACCGCTCATTTTTTTCTACATACGTATAAGGGTTATTCGAGTTTAACATAATTTAATTACAAAAAAATGGTTTTTTCCGCCTGACTAAAATCACTCTTTAGTCCAGTAGTTCTCAACCAGTGCACAGTAGGACGTTTCACTTGTTTTTTTGATATCAAAGATTCGTTTTTATGATATGAATGACTGTATATTTATGTTTTTGGGGTCGCTTATTTCGATTAGGATATTAAAAATTAGAAGTACAAAATGGCGAATCCAATATGGCGCCAAAAAATATTAAAAATTGCTTATTTTGCATAAAAATTAAACCTGGAGGGTTTCTAAGGGGTTTTGGGGGTCGCAGATTTTGAATATGACTTAAAAAATTAAAAATAACAAAATGGTGGCTCCAATATGGCGGCCGAGACATTTAAAAATTGTCGATCCAGACTTGAAATTGAAAATTAATAAATTGCGACTTTAAATAAATTCAATATTTCTGTCTATATCAAGATCGTCTAAATGAAACACTATATTTCCAAGCTCGAAATTGTACTTGTCTTCGTCTTCAGTTTCGCTGGTAATATTTTAAATCAATGTCTCTGGTGAAAAAAGTTCCTTACCCTCCATTTAGGTATTATTACGAGTAGGCTTTAAAGCATTTTACCGGAGATGTTAAAGGTTAGGAATGGATGCATAACCACAGGGCACAGAATACACATAATTTACATCATAACCATTGCATTTCTTCTATATACTTTCTATATTTTGATTTTAAATTAAAATTTAGCAAACTCAAACCCCCCTTGAAAAGGGCTTACGTTTCATTTTTATGCAAAAGAGCAGTTTTGCATATTGTTGGACGCCATATTAGATCTGCCATTTTAAACTTTAAAAATCTGATAGCAGATTCGTAATTGGTGACTCAAAAAACCCCTAGACACCAAACTTCGTGGAAATTTGAAAGTTTTCATTCACGATCCGCCATTTTGAATCTTGTATTTTTGACATCGGATTCGTAAACAGCGACTTCATAAACCTTCGGGCAATAGGTTCAGAAAATTAAATAGACTAGAATGAAGCGTGAAACAAAGGGTTAAGAAAAAATAGTGGAATAGTACACAAATTTCACTACTTAAAAAAAGGTCTTTGGAAAAAGTCCTATTTATATGTTCGCGATTCAAGCTAAGTGATACGCCCTCTGGGAGAAATTTGTGAAAGATATGTAAAACTTTGTTCAGTGTTGCCAGGAATAGCGGAATTTGGCTATCTCGTCGGATTTTTAGCCCTTAAAGAAGTGGAAAGGCCTTTTTTTACGATCACTATCCAAAGTAGGCTTTTGTGCTTCGAAATACAACCGCAAAGTTGAAGTTTTCCGCGAACTGACATTAAGTGGCAGCTTTGTCGCTCGCCGAGCGGAAAACTTGACAGCTTTTTTGTTCGCCTAATTTAAATTAGATATATTTCTTTTTAATAAACAATTTTGAAGTTATTTTTACGTAGTTTGATGTTTTTGTTTTATTATCCAAGTTTAACATTGATTTTTAATAACAACATACACAATACTTACGTCAAATTTTCACTTTTTATATCTATTTCTTAAAATAATTGTGATCGTTTAGTAAACAAATATTTCTAGATGTTTGTGTTGCATCCAGATATGTGAAGAACACATTAACCATAAACACATGATAAATATTATAATTATGACGAGCACGAAAACTAAATATCTTACTATAGGTGACAAATGACAGGCGCGCGAAAATTAATTTGAATCGCGAATAGACACCTTTTACAAATATTCTTCAGAGCAGTGACGGCTCGTAGTAATTTAAAATGGGTGTTCACTTTTTCCAATAATTTTATTATTTGTAAGTTCGGTTAAAAATTTTGACAAAAGACTATCGCTGTTTTTTTATTATTTGAGTTTGTATTAAGTGTAGTTATTATTATCAACATCATACTGTTTTCAAGTACTACAACTATTAATAAATGATTATTTTAGTTAGTGTAATATCTGTTTTGTTTTTAATACATTGAAAACCATCTATAAACATTATTAGTTAGAAAACTGACTTTTCTTCATAATTTGAGATTATTTTTAAATATATCAGGTTATATGTAGAAAGCATGACATTGATTTTTGTGTAAAAAATATTTTATGAAACTGTACCTACCATTTTTCAGTTTTTATTATAAGTTTAATCATTTTCACAATTTGTCACAGATGTCAAATAAAAAATATATTTTTTAAATACCTATTATTGGCAAATAAAATAAGAATTAATTAATTTATAAGATCAGTCCCATCACAATATATAATATTACACAGATACAAACTAGAATAAAGATATATAATGCCTGGCATTCTAAATTATACTCTTCGCAGTTTAACAGACCCCCTTACCCCCATTTTCAACCAATTGTTTTCACAATCAATAGGCCTCGTCTCCTTATAAAGCTTAATTTTCACTAAAAATTTCATGTTGATATCGCTTTTCGTTTTTAATTTAGGATTTTTTTTTAATTTCAACCCATCTTACCTATTTTTAATCAGATTTGTTAAAAATCAATAGGCTTTGTCCTCTTATAGAGCTTGATTTTTGCTTAAAATTTTCAAGTTGATATCATTTCTCGTTTTTGACTTATCGTGCAGACAAAAAACGTGACATCGGACAGACGGACAAAGTAAACCTATAATACTCTTCACAGAATACTGTATGAAGAGTAGAAAAAAAATGTATAAGGTAAAATAAACAGTTTAAAGAGGTCAACAATAATATTCAACTTTTTTTATCAAAGGATACTAAAAGTTTGAAATAGCAGCACAGAAATCTGTGAACAAAAATAGTGAAATAAACTTCCTAAAATGTTATCACACTTAATTGTTCATATGGCCCTTTCTAAGTGTATTTCACAGCACATTCCAAAGTATTCTTGTTCTCGCTACTGTCCTACCCTCACTACCCTCATGGCAGACTTTTGCATGTACATGTTTAGTAAAAAATAATGTGTTTTAATAAATAAGAGAATAATAGTAATTTTGTCTAAATAGGTAAATCGGCTTCATCTGTATTTTCAAATTATTGTTTAAGATAGTATATTAATGTTTTGATATCTTCTTATAGGATTGATTACCCAGAGCATGTAGATATGTGGGATGTGATTTGTTGAGTGCCTATTCAAAATTTATGTTTGATACTTATTGCTTTTTTCGAGACATAGTTTATTACCGACTGTAAACAATTTACCAACAGCCTTATTTTTATTTAATACCTGTAGTGATCCAAATTACCAATACATCTAATATTTTTGAAAATACTAAATTATACAAACAAGACAATAAAAAAATCATTAAAATAAAAGATTTCAGGGTAACACGATTAATGTGTTCTTTTGCAGTTTGAAGGATCTGTTGGCGTGTTGTCTTCTCTCACTCGTGTTAGCCTCACTCATCATAATGCGCCACAGACACAGTATACTTACGTATACTGTGCCACAGAGACGCGACCAGCCAGAGGACAATCATGTACCAAAAAATATAGATTAACACGTATGAAAATAAAAATATTAAAATTAAATTTATATTTTTATGTAATTTTAAAATAATGTGTTTTTATGAAATTTAACTGGGTGTTCACTGCACAACTGAACCAATACCGCCCGTGATCCAGAGGGCGTATCGCTTAACTTGAATCGCGAATAAACAATTTCGTCTGTCTTTTTTTTTCTACGCCTTCTCACCTTTTTTTATATTGTTTTAGGTGCAAGAATGATCTATAGGTACCTGCCACAAGCTGCCGGTTTACGAAGAATTTCACTTCACAAGTCGTTGAGCCCGAAAGGAGACAAAATGTACATATTGTTAGTTGAATGTGCGAATTTATTAAGCGATGTGACTGTTTGTGCTCTAATTTTACCAGCACTGCGAGCGAGATTGACTGGTTATACAGGAATTTTTAGACCTTTACAGACTTTTTAAAAATGGGTCCAAATGTAATAATTTTACATATCCTATTTACTGATTTGTTCAGTTTTTCCTAATCTACTAAACATTTATGATGTGAAAAAAATTATTTAAAAAATATTCGTTTTCCTCATTGAACAAAATATTTAAAACGAAGCAATGTATGCAACAACTATTGTTCAAGAAAAATGGAACTATTACTGTTTTAATTATGAAATAAAACAAAATACTCCTAGTATTAATGTCCAAGTAGATTAGATAATATTGAACAACTTTACTGTTAAGAATTTATTACATTGTGATTTTTAGAATAATTTTGCAGGCTTAGGTATAATTTTTGATTCTTTATTATTTATAAAAAAAATCATGTATTTTTAGCGGAATTTAATTTATTCCCTCGTCTCAAATACAAGCAATCTTAATTAATTAATTAATTAAAAACATATCAATTAAATGTATAAACATGACCAAGTACTAATATACCAAGATGTTATCCAGGTACTATAAGTGCATTTGTTATAAATCTCATTTTAATCAGAAAGTTGTGTTAAAAATGTTTTAAAATTGAGGTTTAATTTGAGACATATTATTCGACCAAAAATAAATCTGCATTTCTAAGCTTCAAATTCTAAATTTCAAGCTATTCAAACAGTATTAGATTATCTTAAAAATCTAGTAAAAAAATCCCAAATACTGCTTAGTCACGAATTATTACCTAAAATTAAAAAAAAGAAGCCTAGAATATGCATATGAGTCCATCCTGTAAATAGCAAGCTTGACTCAGGGTCGTAATGTTGTAATAGATATTACAGTGTGTGTTTAAATATTTTTTTGAAGACTAGTAAAATTTGGTAAAATTTTGCAATTTGACATAAATAACTCAATTCTTGCCGCAAAGTGGTACGATCGTACCTTCGGCTGGAATTTTGTGAAGTGGTTGGCGGGAGCATCAGGAAGATTTAATTTAGAATAACAGCAAACGAGACGAGACTCAAAGTTGTAAAAAATATTGGCTAAAAAAAAAGATTGTACCTCAGGCTAAAAATTTACATACCTATCACTTCTTTGAAGGTCACAAAGATGAGGTACACATATCATTAGATGGTTCGACTGTCGAATCTATGTGCCTTGATCAGTGGCGGCTTGTGAGCAAAAAAATGGGGGTTCACAATGACAGCATATAAATTTAAATACAGATTTAGGTAAAAACTTTCAGTTTTATAATACACCTTTCCAAAACACTGAAACCTTTTTACCTAAATCATTACTGAGACCTATATTCTTTCATTGTGAACCCCCAATTTTTTGGCCACAAGCCGCCACTGGCCTTGATATCTCAACTGGTAGAGGCGCGGATAGTTCTAGTCTGAAAGTTCCAGGTTTGATTTCTGGTCGATACATTAATTTGTTCTTTCCTTTATTTCTCAGCGTTTTAAATTTTTCTTTGGTTTGTTTTCACTTTGGGAATCCCAAGTAGCACCGAACAGTTTTATTCAATATTTCAAAGATGCTTTAAAACTGTAGAATGAAACTGCAATTAAAACCGATTAGTTTTAAAAGAAGCCTTAAGGTTGTAATAAATACGCCTTCAGCATAAAAGAACCCACTCTGAAAGAGGTCAATAAAACCAAAAATAAAAACCACCATAACTGATTTTAAAACTGCTGTGAAGACCCTTTTAAATACATTTTAAATACACGCTGTTTTGAAGTGGACTTAAAAATGTTAGTTACATATGTATATTTTTAAAGATAATTTATCTTATTGTTAACAGTGGAGTCACTCGACCATTCACTGTTGGGTTCTAATTACAGTGCTGTTCCTAAAGTGGCGCTGGGAAATAGTAACAAAGCCTACACAGAACACGAGGCTAATGACCTTAGCAGTCGATGCCGATGACACCAAATAAAAAAAAAACAGTGGAGTACCCACGGGGGGGGGGGATAATTGGGATATATCCCCCCAGGAAGTCCAAGCCCGTCCGCAAACTCAAACACATCTTCAAAGTGATAAGTGATCATAAGAAAACAATAAGAGTAAGAGACCTCTAAATCGCTTTATAATAATTACTAAATCAAATAACATCATACAGGTGTTAGAAGTAAGTAACTTAATAAATAAAAATTTAATTTCTTCCAACAAGAAGCATAGTTAGTCTTTAGGATAACCAAATTGATTTAGCTAAGAGCGTTCCGTTTTAATATAGCTTTCTAAGAGCCGATTCCACCGTTGTGTTAAACGAAGATTAAAATGATATTTGTACGTTGCCAAGGTCATTTCAATATTCGTTTAGTAATTTAAACTTCGTTTAACACAACGGTGGAATCAACCCTAATTGAATTTAAGAAAGCCGTTATAAGATCTTTATCGGCTGTAAGCAGGTAGGGTTAGGTTTGGCTCAAAACACTGCGGCCTCTTGGGTCTATTGTATTCCACTGCTTTCCTTGAGTTCAGGTACTATCTTTGGAATAGTCCTGTGGCTTTGGTTAGTTTTAATAGGTTCCCTACCAAGTGTTCCTGGGGCGTTCTTTCCGGTTCTAGGCCGAAAAGGATGAAACGTCGCCTAGTAAGAGCTTCGCATTGGAAGATCACATGGTGTGAGGTTCCTTCCTCTTCCATGCAGAGTCTACACGTAGTGGGATCATTGGCTAATCCCATCACATGAAGGTGTTTCAGCAAGCAGTGCCCCGTTAGTAATCCCATCACATGAAGGTGTTTCAGCAAGCAGCGCCCCGTTAGTAATCCCATAATGGTGAATATCTGAGGCCTTGCGAGTTGTAGTGCCTCAGTAGCCATGCGTGGGTTTGGTCCCCTTAGCACGAGCTTACTGATTCTGTGCCCTCTTATCTGTTGCCAGTGAATTTGGTGTTTTGTGGTTATCCACCTGTTCATTGCCTGTCGAGCAGAGGTTTTGCTTATCCCAAATACAGGTGCGGGTCCTGTGAATGGTAGATCAGATCCATCTTTGGCTTTTTCATTTCCTTGAATACCTTTGTGCCCTGGTACCAACGCTAGTTTTACCTTGTTGTAAGTTGCCAGATCATTTAGTATTCCAAGGCAGTTCCAGACAAGCTTTGACTTGATTTTGTTTGAATCAAGAGCCTTTAAGGCTGTTTGGCTATCTGAGAGAATTAGGATGGTTTGTTTCTGTACTTCCTTCTTAAATTCTCTCGTACACACAATTCGATTGCATGTATTTCAGCCTGAAATACAGTGGCATGTTTTCCCAGTGAGACGATGATGTCGCATTTGGGTTTAACTCCATGTACGCCAGAGCCTGTTCCCTTGTTAGTTTTAGATCCATCCGTATACCATACGAGGCCGCTAAGCAAGCATTTATCTATCTGCTTATTTACCTCGTTCCAGTTGCAATTGACCTGGAAGAGTCTGTTGAAGGTTAGGAGGGGTGTCATGTGATCTGATCCCATATTTAATATAGAATCATTTACTTCATGTGTTATTCTGGCATGTTTTATATGTCCCAGTGGGTTCCAGTTGTTGGAGATTTCCGGTCTGTATGCACTCATTCTGGCCTCCCCCTTTATGACTAGGTCAAGGGGTGGGAGGTTTAGAATAATTTCCATAGAGGCTGTCGGTGTACTTCTCACTGCTCCTGTAATACAAATGCTTGCCAGCCTTTGTGTATTGAGGGCTGCTTTCTGGTTTACTTTTGGCCACCAAACAACCGCTCCATAAGTTATCATGGGTCTTGTTGTTCATTGGTTTACTAGTGTTAAGTTTTTAAGTACGGTGGGTCTTAAACGTAAAAAATAAAAGAAATTAAAATGCAATTTTGGAAATATGAAACCAATCCCAGACAGCACAAAAATATTGCATGAATATTCAATGCATATCTCAACTGCATACTCCTATATTCCATGGATACGCCATATCCGCCATGGCATATGACAGGAAGATTGCAGGAATATTCAAGGTCACCATGAAACATATGCCCACAATATGTTTTTATCTGCCAAAATATATGTATGGCATATTCTCTGGATTCATAAGTAACCAATGATTATTGAATAACGTCGAAAGAAAATAGCAGAGATAAAAAATATTTTCAACATTCAAAATATTTTCCACACTCTGCCTTTGATTTTGCCCACTAAGGAGGAAAGTCATCCTTATTAGGACTCTTCAGCAAATGAAAATTCTCGACTCCATGCAGTCTCTAATGGAGTGATTAGGACACAAATTTCGATCGAACTCAATTACGGCGGGTCGAGCATTAGTAGATGCGATAGTGGTATCGCCATCTATACTTAGTAAGCAGAATCAAATAACATCTAGTGGATATCCACGATGGTTTGCGTTCGCGCCTAGACTTTGATATATTTAGTGGATGTTCATGGGATATTGAATACACCTTAAAAAAATTAATTTTAAATATCTGAACGGTACTATTAGCCACAATGGCGTAATTTTTTAATAATTTGCTATATAATTACTATTATTTATGGACATTTGCATGTTTATAATTACATTTCATGGATATAAAATAGATATCTACCATGGACTGGACATTTAGTGGATATTGGGATGTTCAGGAGATATCCAAAGGATTTGGTGTGCTGTCTGGGTACATGGTCTGGCCAACGTTGACACCATTCCTATTCCGCTCGCTCCAGCCGACACCGTATGTATTTAAAGTCCCCGAAATATGCTAAAACGTCAGATGGAGGAAACAAAAAAAACTTCAACCAAAATTTACGAATTTGAGGAAGTCAGATAGCCCTTAAGCAGTGATCTAGGACCTAGTCATCTTACCTTGCATAGATATACCTCATCTGTAACCTTCAAAGAATTTTGTAAATTTTTAGCTAAAGGTACTGTTTTTTAGCCGATATTTTCTACAACTATGAGTTGTTTGACGTCTCTTTTGCAGATGTTCTAAACGAAATCCTTGCAGTTGACTTTCTGATGGTCTCGCATACCAATCACAAAATTCCATCCGGAAGTACGATCGTACCACCTCGCGGCCACTAGCTATAATTATCTCTATTAAAATTCCCCGATTCGTAAGAGTTTTCAAAAAACAATTAGAACACTCAATTGCCCTGCATAAACAATTAATTATTGTAGTGTGCAACCAATTCAACTGTGATCTCTAAATTTATAGTTAAATTTAAATAATAGGTCTGGCTTACTGAAAATTCTAAAACGATAGCAATAAGCAGTAAGTTTTATAACTAACACATATCAGTTAAGTGCAAAATACTGACAAATAATGCTTGAGTGCTGTTTATAAATAAAATAATTTTTAGAAGATTGTGATTGCTAAGTTAAATTTTACAATAATTGAAAAAAACTTTACCAAAATGTTGAACAATTAAATACTATTTCTATTGTGTTATCTTACTTTATTTCACACAACCTTCCTCCAATATAATTTCTATTTCTACAAAAAAAACAGACGTATCGGGATTTAGAATATACATTGGCAGCACTGCAATATATCAGTCGAAAGAACAAAAATTGGACATCACCTGGCGGTCAGTTACAGAAACATCCGACAACTTTAGAAGCTCTGTTGTTTTAATGTTAACTTAAAACGAGTTGGTGAAATAAGTTCGAAACACAAAAGTTCAAAAATCAAAGATTAGAATGGAAAATTTTTCGATAGTACAAAAGTTCTAAAATGAGAGAAGATCGAAATTAGAACAAATGATCGAAATCAGATATATTTAAAAGTACTAATAATTGAAATGGTAGAAGATCGAAACCATTATATTACGAAATTAGTTTCTCTTTTAATTTTTCTTAATTTAAGTAGGTAATTTTTTTTTTGCGAAGCAACCCGTGATATATTTAGGCTGCAGGTAGGTAATTCAGTTGTAAAGTTATTTTATTTTTCTCATTTTATGTATTTTTCTGCGAAGCAACTTGCGATGGCGCC